AAATCTTACTTTCTTGATGAAACCTGCCTTGTATAAAACTGGGCTGATATCCATTGCTGTGAAACATACCACCCCAGGCATAGTGGGGGCAAAACACCATCAAAACCTTGATGGATTCTGTGGGTCAGAGATGTGCACAGGGCTCACGGGCAATGGTTTGTCTTTGCTCTTCCCTCTCTGCTGGCATCTCAGGCTCAATGGCCAGAAACTAGAATCATCTGAACCGGGTGAGCTACCTACGGCCTGCGGGCCCATCACCTGTCTGTGCAAATAAGATTGAGGGGAGCACAGCTGTTCCTGTGCATGTCGTCAATAGCTGCTTCTGTGCTGTGACAGCAGAGGTGAGTAGTTGTGACCGAGCTCATATGCCCTGCAAAGCCCCACGGTCTGGACCCTCCAGAAAATGTGGGCCAACCCCTGATCTAGAGGCTTCTTCCCTCAGGTCGCTGGCATTTCTGCTGGGATAATGTGAGGACTGGGGTGGCAGAGCAGAGCACCTCCGTGAGGCTTCATCACGGTGCTGTCATGCACCTGGACGTCTTGCGTGGCAGCTCCCGGTGCCAAGAGCAAGCGTTCATTCTAGTGCGCACTGGGGAAGCTGGATGGCCTTTCATGACCTAGCTGCCGGGCACCTAGCTCCACTGTACCCTCCCCTCATGGTGGAAGCAGTCACCAACCACCCTCCTCACAGGGAGGGGCCATAGCCTCGACCTCTTGAGATGGATATGTCAAAGAGTTTGTGGCTATATTTTGAAACTTCCACAAACATCAAAACTTAGCTAACACGTGCAATATCCTCTCCACTGTATTAATTTTATAATTGACATACATCTAAATGGCATTGTAATTTAATATCCCAATTATTCATGGGATCAAAATATGTGAAGAAACGTGAGAAAACAAAAACAAAATATCAGATCCCTTGTTATACAACTATTTCATACTTGCAGGGACTCTAGCCCTAAAAGGCTACATTTGTTCAACTTCAGCAGGGCAATGCTGACTTGGAGCCCACACTGGGAGGCCTGCCATGTCTCCAAGATCTGCTGAGACTCTGTGTGATACTGTTCACTCTTAACAGAAAGAGGGACTGAGCAGGGCCTGCAGAGCCGCAGTCATCCAGGGGCTCAGGAAGGTGATGCCCACTGATTCACGTGCAGAAGGGCTTGTGCCCCAAATCAAGTGCATTGTTATCATAATCCATCATGTTGCTGACCAGTGTCAGGACTTCAGCCTTCCCATTGCAGGCCCCAGGAGCACAGATGCAATGAATAAAAACTGTCCTCAATGACCTTGTATTAAACCCCATTTTAACCCTTTGTCCCCCTGCCACCCCACACGTTTTGCCCCTTTCACCCTTGTCCCTAGCTGTAGCTTGTAATGTGCTTTCCTCTCCTGCCTCCAGTCTGCCACATGGACCCCCACTTCAGAGCTGGCCTCCTCCTACCCACTTGGACACAGTGCAGACTGCACAATATTCAGACACCTGGCTTGGCCCCAGGATACTCTGGGAAGGACAGTGTCCTGAGAAATTGCCTCATCCAAGTTTCAGGGCCAGAGGACCATGCATTCCCTACCATTCCACAGACACTGACTGAGCATGTGTTAGATTCCAAGTCTAAGACCAGCCCCTGGGCCATATCACTGAACCAATGCATGGTACCTCCATCAGGGACCTGGTGCCAGTCGAAGCCTGGACCACTTTGGCTCTCAGCCACCCAGGAACCATTGCACGGCCCTCCAGTCATAGCACCTGCTGTTCTGCTGAACCGTGACTCCCACACCCACATGCCCTCCTGCCCCAGAGCCTGGAGGTAGGCATCTCCTTGCTGCCTAAGACCATTCTCTGTCTCTTCTTCCCAATGCTTTGAATCTTTTGTTCTCAGACTGTACCAGCCCTGCTTGCTGCAGTCATCCACAAACTCCGAGGTCTCGCGTTCTCTGATGATTTCAGTACTTGCATCACCCGCACCCCCTTCATACTATCTTTGTGATAGTTCTTGCTTCAGTACCATACAATGACCTTCCTACAGATTCTAAGCCCCTTGACCTCTTATCCTCCATGCATTGTGTGAGCAACATGATGGAAATAGAAGTGCCAAGTTCTTACAGTGAGCTGGGGACTGGGATGGTGCTTATAGGAGAGTCAACGCAAATGCCCCACATCTCAAGGGAAGCACCAGCAATTGTAGTTTCCGGGGCGATGTCGATGGTGCCTGGAAGAGACCCCATGTGGTGGGCTGGACCACATACTGGGAGGACAGGTGGGTGGCTCTGTTGCAGGACAGGTGGCCCATTTTGAACATGGAATTAACACCATGTGCGCTGCACTTGGAGAACTAAGGGTCAGTGAAACAGAAATACATGCTGCCTACAGTTCGTTACAGGAAGAGGATATAATAGAGGTACAGCAGTAAGGTAAGAATACGCACCCCAATTAAAGGTTGTTTCATGGTAAGGGGTCCAGAGAGGCCAGAGGCTGGGTCCTTTGTCCTCGTTTCTAGGAAGAATGAGGCTGGCTACACTTTCTCAGATCAGGAGCCACCGAGAACACTTCCAGTCAGAGGCCAAAATGGGGGCCCATTTGGGATGTTTATATTTTGCTGGTCATCTGTGCATCGTCCCAAAGCAGCCTCAACTATCACCTCGATCCCACAAACCTTCACATCATTCTATCTACAACATTACCTCGTCACCTTTTGTCTCTTTGTCTGTTTTACCTTTTGTTCAGAGCACCCAGCAAGTCCCAGCTTCATGCTATGTATGTGCAGGCTGCTTTGACTCTTTCCTGCAAGCCTGCCCTGGTTACCAACTCTTTGGGTTGACAACTGCGCTTTGAGAGCCTGGCCTCTAGGAGGCGCTCAATACATACTTGTTAAAGGAGCTAGTGAATGAATTTCTCTTAACTCAATCTACAAATTTGAGGAGATCCCAATCAAAATTCCAAGGGAACTTGATCAAATTATTCAAAATTCATAGATACTAAAATTTAGAATGTGTGTATTTTTGGAAACAGAAATTTTATTTTCGGGAAATAATTTAAAAATAAATAAATGTGCAGAGGTACTATACAATGATGATCATCACAGAATTATTCAAAAAGTAGAAAAACAAAATAATTTTAAATTTATTAATTAGAGCCAAATTATATAATATATGACATGGCAGGAGAAAAGGTACTAGAAGATATTATTTTTCAGAAATATTTTAATATTAGAAGTACAATATATTATCAAATAGAAATAGAACATAAAATGATTACAAATATTAATAAATGTATATTTACATCTATCACTAGCATATCTGAAAAGATATATATGTACTATTCTTTCCAATTTAATATGTGGATGATCACTTATTACATAAACCTTTTTCTTTTCTACCTATAAATATGAATTATTTTATAATAAAAAAATTACTTTTATTTTGCAAAAGGAAAATAGAATCTAGTCCAATTTCCTCATTGTAAAATTGAAGAAAATGGTCTCAAGACACAAACTGTGTGTGTGTGTGTACATGCTTGGCAGTCAACTTGTGTTGTGGCAAGACACTTGATTCAGAAGTAGATACACTCAACTAGTATCACAGAACATTAATGCAGCATAATACAGACGCCCAAATATCTCAATTTTGTTCCCTCCTTCATTGCCACATGCATTTTTTTGTTTTTGTTCTGCTTTATTCATTTCTCAGCAGTTTTAGAACTCTCAGTTGCCTGGCTCTCTGTGACTATTTTATATTTAGTTCTATTTCCACTGTATTCAACCTCATCTGTCCATTTTTTAGGCTTCTTGCTATTCTGGTTTCCTTTTTTATAAAATCTTGTTCTAATACAGTTGAAGAAAAAATCTATTTTAATGTCATACAAAATGTCACAACTTCCTAAATTATGTTTTAGTTCTTATAGTTTTCATTGTTTGTATTAAACGTTTAACTCCATTCAAGTGTCCTTTACCTGATGTGTATTTTTCCCCACTCCTTCTTTTAGTCTTCTATCTTCCCTTTATCACCTTACTATGGAGTGGTTCCGTTCTATCATCATATATTTTTAAGTACAATTTCCACTTATGTTTTCCACAGAACATTTCTTCAGTCCGTAAGGACTTAGCATCCTCCGGGGGCTTGCGTGGAGGTGACGGGCAGCACCCGCAGGTCTGAATCGGGGGGGGGGTTCAGTTGTTCTCGGCTCCCCTGCCTCCTGGCTGTGAGTGGCACAGCGCCCACAGTAATGGAGTTTCTCAAACAGCTTGGGGGGCACAGAGGCATCCAAGGCACTTCAGAAATGTCCCTAAAGGCCTTGTCCTTGAGCATGCATCGGTGCAGTGGGGCACTGAATAGGCTACACACGACCAAGGTCCTTTTTGGCACAACTGCTGTTCCTTCTTTTCTTGGTCATCTCGGAAGCGAGGACCCGAGAGAGGCAGTTCTATCATGTCGCCTTCCTGGCTGCTTATCAATCAAGCCAGCATTAAAGGGTCTCTGCTCATTCTGTGCAAATGTACACATATCCAGCAAAATGTATGCTATTTGTTGAGCTACTCTTAGAAAGAATAGTTTGTATTGTCCTAATTTAATAAAAATTTACCTAAAACCTGAGTTTCCATGAAGGGAGATTTCTGTATCCAAATAGGTTCTCCCTGAGGGCAAATCCATGAAAGTGATATCATTTTAAGAATCATTCCTCCTCTGCTGTCAATCATTCAATGAGTTGCTTTAGTCTCAGAATAAACTTCAGATCCTTCAAAGCAGTTCTTGGCCTGGAGTGCTCTGCAGGCCAACTAGGACCGGGGCTCCAGCTGGCAGGACAGGATGTAACTACAGGACAGAGGGGCACCTGTGAGCTCCCAGGAGCCATCTCTCAGGTGTCTCTCCCAGGGTCGGGTGCCCCAGGGGTTGCTACACAACAAGGGCGGGGGCTGACCTGGGAGCCATGGACACAGGTTCTCTGGCCTGGCCCGCAGGGGAGTCCACCTCTGCCCTCACCCAACTCCTGCCCGGCCTCACCTCTCCTTCTCGCTGAGCCGCTCCAGGGCCCAGAACCAGGCCCTGAATTGCTCCTCGGGCTCTATTTCATACATGTTGGCAGCTTCCTGCAGCCGCACTATCTTCTCCATGACTCTCTGTTCCTGGGGCCAGAGGGAAGGAGAGGGTGCAGACACGGCCGAGCGCGGTGAGCAGTGGCGTGGGGACAGGTCCTGGGTCTTTGCACACAAGGGCACCGCCCTTCCCCCTAATTCCATGAGGCCCTACCTGTGCTCAGAGATGGGCTTCGCCAGCCCTTCCTCCAGGCAGTGCTCCTTGATGCCACCCCCCTACCCCAGCCACCACCTGGAGGGTCTCCCTCTGCTGTCATCAAACTCTCCCAGTGAGTGTAAGATGCGGGGTGGAGCCCAGGAGTGTGCTGGGAGGGCCCCTCTGATGTTCACTGCCCTCCCCTGCCCGCAGGAGGTGCCCCAGCTGCTCACCTTCTCCTTTTTCTCCAGGTTGATCTGGTTCCCCTGGAAGGCAGACAGCCCCAGTCCATTAGGAAGAGCCCCTGGCCCTGACAAGCCCCTATGCCCACCCCTTCTCATGATGCAGTACCACCAGGTCCCAGGAGGGGGCGGGAAACACAAACAGACAGGACTTGGAGGGAGGCCAAGCTCTGGGCTCCAGAGGAGGGGCACATGGGTCCCTAGAAAGGGCATGAGGCCCATCTCCATGGGGGAGCTGTGCTGAGAACTAGGGGCTCAGTACCGGGCCTCCCTCTCCCCAAATGTCAATCCTGGTCACCCAACCCAGGTCCCAGGTTACTCACCTCCAGATAATCTTCCAACTTAGTGTCCAGCATTTCCAGGTCAGTTAGAAATTTGCCAAGGAAGGGAACACACTAGGCAATCAGGGTGAAGATGGGATGAGCCCCTGTTCTCAGCTGGCCCCACGGACAATCCCCTGAAAGCCTCCACCCTCAGCCTCCTGTCCCGCCCCAGGGACCCCACATGGAGCAGCCCAGGACCCTTAGAGCCTCCCCTCAGTGGCCCCTTCCCTCACTCTCCAGGAACTCCTCCTCATCACCTCCAGGGCCTACTGCTGGCCAATCACAGGGCCTGTGGCCCCAGCCCAGCCCCTCCCCCACAGGCATGGTGCACCCAGCTCTTCTAGGCCCCCCTAGGTCCCTGCTAATGGAGGGTTGCAGGCTCTGTGGGGACAGGAGGTGGATGGAGGAGGGAGGCCTCCCTCTCCTGACCTGGAGGCCTCCAGCTGGGAGGGCGGAGCCCCTCTCCTCTGACCCTGGAGCCCAGACAGGCTCACTCACCTTCTTGTGCGGCCTCTTCCGAGTTCCCCGGAGGGTCCGCAGCAGAGTGGCAAACCTGGAGGGCCGCTTCTGCCAGGGTCCGGGACAGGGTCATGAGGCCAGGCCTCCTCACCCCGTTTCCCCCACCACCCCTGACCTCAGACCCTGGACAGCTGGCCCAAGTCAGCTGGTACCGGTGCCACTCTGACTCCAGCACGCTCGATTCTGGGTCACTCCCAGCTGCCACGCTCCCTGGGTGTGTGACCATGGGCCTGGGGCCTGCCCCTGCCCCTTTCTGACTGACTGACTGACTGACTGACTGACTGGCAGCGAGTGCTCTAGGGACACAGTGGGAAGTCACAGAGGCACAGTGGGAAGTCACAGGAGGCACAGTGGGAAGTCACAGAGGCACAGTGGAAAGTCACAGAGGCACAGTGGGAAGTCACAGGGGCACAGTGGGAAGTCACAGGAGGCACAGTGGGAAGTCACAGAGGCACAGTGGGAAGTCACAGAGGCACAGTGGGAAGTCACAGGGGCACAGTGGGAAGTCACAGAAGGCACACCTCACCTCTCTGTCTCTGGTCCAGCAAGTGGGACCTGAGGCCAAGCAGCCCTGTGTTCCCCTGGCCCATGGGAGTCCCCTGCAGTGCCCATCCCTGGGGCAGGCAGGGTGCGCTCCCCTTGGAGGGGTGGTGAAGACAGAGGAGCAGCAGGGGCCTGGCTTCCAAGGCCAGGCGGGGCTGCTTTGGGAAGAAAGGTGCCCACCTACCCCATTCACCCAACAGCCTGGAAGAAGCTAAGTGCCAGTGGGATGGCCCCGCATGGAAGCCAGAGACCCGTTCAATGTGCCAGCCCTGCACCCGTCCCAGAGCCGCCCAGCCAGCATCACTGTGGGCCAGACCCCGGCCTCCTGCCCTGGAGCTGCCCCCTGCCATGGGCCAAACAGAGCCCTCTTCCTCTTACTCAGGACAGAGGGCGAACATTGCAGAGAATCTTTAAGTGACAAACTATCGAAGCCACATCCTGCACAGGGCCCCCTCCAGACCTCCAGCCTCCGCTCTACCTTGATGAGCTGCTCCCTGACTGCTGAGTTGTCTTCCTTACACAGCGTGTTCAGTGTGGCTGAGCTCCTCCTGAGCCGGGCAGGAGGGAAAAACATGTTTACAGTGAATGAGCGGGGGGAAGGCGGTTGTTAAAAGCAAATTCCTTTTGACAGTCTAGTGTTTCAAAGCGCTGGGGTGAGGGGTTCACTGGGTTCCTCCCAGCAGGAAGGTCTCCGTGGCCTGGGCGGGGCTCTCCTGTGGGTCACCTGGGCCCCATTCCCATTTCTATGGGGCAGCTCTGTTTTGACCAGATTCAGTTTCATCTGGGCCTAGGGTTCTAGTGGTATAAACACTTGAAAATCTTTAATGGGGTTCAGTCCAGTCTCTGGCACTTAGGGGAACTGATTCCTGAAGCAGAACTGGTGGCCTGAGGTCCCAGGGAGGCTTAGAGACCCCGCCCAGCAGCCCAGTCCCTGTCCCCGGGGTGGCTGCCTCCCAGGAGGTGCCAGCTCCTGAGGGGACATTAGAAGGCATATGAGAGACACCCCACCCATCCTCTTCTCGGGAGAGGCCTACCCACCTGGAAACTTTCCCCCACGTCTTCTTCAGACGGTGGACGGACACGCTCTGCAGAGCGGACAGGATGGCGTGCAGGGCGGAAAAGCTCCGTAGGGCTCTGCACTCCTGGGAGGGGAGCGACGGCTGTGAGGTGGCAGCTGGGGCTCTAGCTCAGTCCCCTCCATTGACACCCCTCCTGGGTGGGACAGGTGCTCAGGGTGGGCATGGTGAGCACCCAAAGACCAGCACTCACAGAGAGGAGGATCCTAGCTCAACCCAAGGAACGAGCCAGGGAGGAAGTGAGCCTCCCACCACCGGGACCTGAGAGTCAAGGTCAGCGGGCCCCTGGCAGAGAGGACCTGGGAACTGTGCTGGGCTCCGGCCTCAGGCCTCAGTCCCGAGAGCTGATAGAGCAGCAGAGGCATTTCTCAAGGCTCCGCATAGGGACTGCGCTGGGCCTCCCATAACATACCTTGGCCACCTTGATCCAGTGCTCCACCACTTTGGCCCTGTCCCGGGCCCTCATGCTAGTGTCCCCAAGGCAGGTGGTGATCACACAGGTGGCCACATTATTAAACTGTGTGATGGTGGCATGGACGGTGGAGGCCAGGTGTTTTTTGCCAGGCTTGTTTCTCTGGGACCAGACGGAGCCCAGGCACTGGTGGGGCAGCACCCTCTTGAATAGCTCCTAGGGAGAAAGGGGAGGGTCACCCACCCTGCCACACCCAGCTCAGTGTCCCCAACCCTCTGCAGTGGTCACTGGTAAACACTGAAGCTCAAGAAGCTGAGGATGTGGCCTGAGACTTGGAGTTCCTGGGATTCATTCTCTGTCCACCAAAGTACCCAGCACTGGATGACCCAGAGCCCAGGACAGGTGGGGAAGGAACAGGAGCATCTGCCTCCAGCCCATCCTCACTGACTCCAAATTCCAGGATGCAGCTCAAGTCCACTCACCCCAAGAGGGCATCTTCCAGCATCCTGATTACCCCTCCGGGCCAAATCCCCATTCAGGGCACATGCCCTGTGGCAGCTACAGCCATGGGCTCTATGTTTGTCTCCCTTGTAGGAAAGTACACATCAGGTGCCTAATCAGTGTGGAGGCCGCTGAGCCTCATGGGAACATGGGTGGGAGCCCCATGGCCCTGGCTGCAGTGAGCTCCCCTCCCACCTACCGGACCAGGACCCGCCCAGCTTTCTGTCTGATCTGCCTCCTGGAATCTGCAGCCACTCTGAGCAGCGGGTGCTGTGCGTGTCCACCCCCACTGTCCACAGGTGGGCAGCGAGGCTTGGGGGTTTGAGAAAGTTACCCAGGACCCACGGGTGGTCAGGAAGTAAGCTGCAATTTGGATCCAGATCACGAGAGTTCAGATCAGAAAAGGCAGGTCGGGGCAGCTGAGGGCAGAGGGAAGGCCTGCCCCCCACTCTCCCCGAGAGCCCCGCTGCTCACCGCGTCCATCACTGTCAGCTGCTCTGCCACCAGTCTGGGAGGGAAGCTCAGGATGTTACGCTTCTCCTCCTTTATCAGGTGCTTAGTGGTCCCAGCCGGGGGGTGGTCCGGTGCTGGGCATGGAGCTGGCTCTGCTGTTGGCATTCGGATCAGAGCTGGTGGTGCAGGAGGCTCCTGCTGGAGAGCCGGCCCTGGGGTGGAGGGTGAGGTGGGTGCTGGCCCCAGGCCCCCAGGGGCTGAGGGAGGTGACACTGGCTCCATCACTGGCACAGCGGGACCGGGCACGGGCCCCTGGGCAGGCCCCTCCTCGGGCTCTGGAGCGCGCTGGGGCTCTGGGGGAGCCTCTGGAGCAGCTGAAGAGACAGTTCACACACAGGCCTGGCTTTCCCGTGCCCTCCCAGAGACGGAAAGATGCCACTGCCCCCAGGGGAACTGCGGCCCCTGAGCCCACCCACCCCGCCCGTCTCCCAGACTGCAGGCCCCTGACCTTCCAGCTCTGCCTCCGTGGGCTCCAGATGCTCCAGCTCCACCCAGAGGCTGAGCACGTGGCCCAGCGGGTGTGAGGCAGGGAGGTGGCCCTGCACGAGGGCCTGCTTCAGGGTGAACCAGGGGAGAAGCAGGGGCCGGCCGAAATATTGTATCTGGTCCGGCCAGGCTCCCATCACAGAAGCTACGGCCCTGGGGGAGGCAGGAGGGCAGCGGGGTCAGAGTCCTGGTCTTTCCTCCCGCACAGCTCTCCCATGGCACCCTGCTTCAGACGGGGCCCGAATGCCTGCCCGGCCCATCCAGGGGTCAGCCCCATGCCATCCCCTGCCCCTGGGGCTGTCCTGGGAGTCGCAGGCCTGGTGACCCAGCAGGCTAACACGGAGTCTGTGTGAGTCTCCTCTTCCCCCGAGAGCTGTCCTGGAGGCCTGTGCACTGCCCACCCAGCCCTCTGAGCACTGGGCACCTGGACTGAGGACTGAGACAGGGTGTGAGCAGCCTGCTCCCCACGTCCTGTTCTGGGCCTGGCGATGGTGGTCAGGGGAGTGGGTGCAGAGAAAGCAGGCAGAGCAGGACGGTCTGTGGTGGGGATGGGACTCCTGGGGACAGCTCAGCCCAGCCTCCCGTCTGGTTATAAGAGGCCAGGGAGCCCACCCACAGTGCTCTCTGACCCTGTCCTCCTGGAGTGGAAGCCACCAGACTTCAGCCTCCCTTAGGAATCAGCAGACGTGTAAGATCAGGGTTCTGCCAGCCCCTGTCCACCTGTAGCCCTCATCCTGTTGACACAGGAGGCCTCCTTCTGGACCCAAAGACCACTCACTTTTTCAATTGGTCCTGGGGTGTGTCACCCTGGTTATTATATGACTGCATATTTCCAGATGTAGAGAACACCTGAATGGCATCAGATCTGATAGATGGTGGGCAGCACCTGTGAATGACATCTAGTGTCACAGTCTGACATGCTGACTAGAACTGAGGCACAGGCACCGTGTCTTCTTCGGTCCCTGAGTCAGGCTAAGTGTCTCCAAAGTGCCTGCTGGCAGTAGGAGCTCAATGCACATTGTCCAGTCAATGAGCTCCAACCAGAACCATCCAGACATCTGAGTGAGCCTGGGGCCCCTGCTGTCCCCAGACATCCCTAATCTGGCCACACCAAGGACCAGGACAAGGACCAGCCAGGCAGAATCTCAAACTGCTTGACAGACATTTTCCCATGTGCTTTTCCAAATTCAGATGCCACAGGCCGCCGATGGGTGAGTCAGGGCACTTCTCACGGGGAGAGAGAAATAAGTGCCGAGAACGGCCGCACACGTCCAGCAGCCCTTTCTGCAGAGCCAGGCAGCAGGTCAGACCTGCCATGGCTTGTCCCCACAGTAGTCCCTGCAAGAACCCCTCGAGGTTTATCCTCTATCACCCGCTTTTCAGAGGAGCAAGCCGAGGCTCAGAGAGATGTGGTGACATTTTCAGGACATGTGGCTAGCAGTGGACTGAGTCACCACTAGGGGGCGTGTGCTCACCTAGTTAACAGCTGGTCCAGGAACAGCTGGGCTCTGGAGAAGGCCTGGTGGGTGGACATGAAGGTGGGGATGTGGGGAATTTTTCCACTCGGGAAAGCTGGTACCATGGACACCACCATCTTCTCCAGTGTGCCTTCCTGGAGGGCACGCATCCAGCAGGCCTCACGGAGGTTAAGAGTTAACTCAGCAGCACACTGGGTGGGACAAGGAGGGACTTCCAGTCAGCGACATCACCATGAACCCAGGAGGATGGAGGTCTGGAGCTCTCCCTGGAACTGCCAGCCCTCAGGACATGTGAGAGAGGAGGGACAGGGGTGCCCATGCCCAGTGAGGTTCTAGGTTTTAAAGCACTGTTTAAGTTTGGTGGGTGGGGGATGCTTATACAATTATGACCTGGGCATGTGTTAGCTGCAGAACATCAGACCTCCTGTATTAATAGTCTGTGTGAAGGACATTGTCCCCATGAGTCCTCAGCAGACATCCCCACCATGGAGATGTAAACCCAGAGGCTTAGGATGTCAAATGGCTGCTCAAGGTCATACAGGTCAGAACTGAGAACTGTCCTGCATGATGCTCCCTCTCAGCTACCTGAGACTCGTCTGTCCTGACATGGAGAGAGAGGGTCTGGGAACCTTGTCACTGCCCAGTTTGGGGACAGTATACATGGTAGACATGGCCTATGAAAATCATTGACTTCGAAAAAGACACTTATTTCTCCTCTTTTTACATTAAAGGGCATTTTGAGACTCTCATTATAGAGATCCTAGATTCCACGCCAATGCCTGGAGACTCCAGGCTGGAGAAAGCCGACCACCAGGCCGGGATCTGAGCAGATGACGCAGGAAGGAACAAATCCACGTGGCTGGTGAAAAGCTGACAGTCAGTCCAGGTGCCCCAGAGGCAATCGCCAATCAAGGAACACTGGTTGCCTTGGGCAGCTTGACGTCAGATTGGTAAACATTTCAATGAGTGAGAAATCCCCAGGCCGGGCGGGAGCAAGGCAGCAGCCACCACCAGAAAGTGCTGTTGGCGACCTCACTGCCACAGCCTCTGGATGTGGATCCGCCTGCAGCTGTGAGGACAGCCATGTGCACGTCCTGTCAAGAGCAGTCCCGTCCCTGGGCAGGTATCCCCACCTGGGGACAGTATATGTTGGGGGCTGAATTCTGTATCCTGAATTGCATGACTTGGTAACCCTCAGAACTTCAGAACAGGCCTGTATTTGGGCTCATGGTCTTTAAGGAAGAAGTTAAGTGTAAGTGAATTTTGTGAGGTGGGTCCCCCAGTAGGACTGGTGTCCTTTGAAGAGCAAAGGAGGACACATGGATGCGCAGAGGGGAGTCCATGTGACACAGAGAGAGAAGACGGCCGCCAGCCACGAGCCGAGGAGACAGCCTCTGGAGAAAGGAGCCTGCTGACACCCTCCCCTCCCCCTTCTACCCTCTGTGTTCACACAGCCAGTGCGGGCCCCCGTCACGGCAGCCCGAGCAAACTCCCACAGGCGCTCAGTGCTCCCGGCCGCACTGCTGACACGGCCCCTGGACTGCACCACAGTCAAGGTCCAGCGGCACTGCAAGGGCATCGCTGTGGCCGACCCCTGCCTTATGGGACATTATGGACACGAGAGAAGCCACAGCTCCTGACGGGGCAGGGCCCAAGGTGTCTGCGATGACAAGTAGCAGAGAAACGGACGGAATAGCTTAACCCTGTCCTCCCCCTTCTGTGTACAGACCATGTGACACGTGTGCTGATGTGGAGACCTGGAGCAGGTCTGCAGGGACACCTGGGGCGGGCAGTTCAACAACTAAACAGCGAACGGGACCGTGCTCGTGGTCTCGGGGCAGAGAAACACGGGCTCCCTCTGCGCTTCCTACCAGTGTGGGGCGGCTCCGACCCTCCCAGAGAGCTGGCGGGGTAGTGGAGGTCCAGGTCCCTCTGTGCGCTGGGCTGTGCACACTCCAGGGGAAAAGCCTTGGAGGCCCCCGGGGGAGGCCCCAGATTTGGGTCTGGGTTCTGGGCCACCCCAGTTGTGTCAAGCTCATGGGTGTGGAGAACCCTCTGAGCCAGCTCTCACCTCAGACCGGCACTGGACGGTGATCCTGGCCTGGTACCCTTGTCCCTTGTAGCAGTTGATGGCATTAGTGAACCCATCCGTCGGCTCCTCCACGCTCTCTGGGGCGGGCCTCTGCAAAGACACAGCCCGGTTCCCGGCAGGAGGCGTCAGGGGCCTGCCTGGCCATTCTCACGGGGCAGATGCCCACCACAAATTCTGCCCCCCGGATCGGGCACACAGGGGCTTCTGCAAAGACCTCCAGGCAGGGAGGGAACACGATGACACCGTGAGGACTCCTGAGTAGCAAGTGGGTTGTTGGACTTGGTCCCAGCACCCACCTTCCCTTCCTGCCAGCCGTGACCTGAGCAATGAACATGACAGCCCCTCCCGACTTCAGACACCTAACGACCTGCTCCTGCCCAGGATGAGTGCCCCTCATCCCACACTTTTCTTCTCCACCCGCCACACACACACCAGGATGAGGGGAGTGGGTGTGGGGCTGCCCAGGGAGGATCAGTTGGGGTCTGGCCTGGATTAGCCGGCCCTGGGCTGCCCTGTTACCTGAGGGCGCCTCGTGCCAAATGGCCAGAATCGTCCACGGCGAGGTTTGCGCCAATGTCTACAGAAACCGAAACACCCCGCACTCTGGGCTTTCCTCAGCCCAGGGCTTCGGGGAGTCGGGAAACAGCAACGATACATCCTGTCCTCTTGACCGTTTGCAGTCAACTGACCTGGCGAGGGGTCCCTGGTTACCAGAGTTCAAGCTTCTGTTAGGGTCTGTCACCGAGGAAGTGAGGTCGCCCCTCGGAATTCCATGATCAGCGCCCCTTCCTCCAATCAGAACCTCCCGCAGCCTCTGGGCTGTTGACCTCTCACCCTGCTCGCCCATGTCACCTCCATACCTGTACACGGACACCCACCACAGCCCTCCCACAGCTCCCTGGGAACGGACCAGGTTCCCAGCTTTGAGGAGAGAGCGGAGTTCCAACCTGAAACTCTTGCTCTTTTGGAAACTCAGCCTCCTTACAGACGCTCACATTACCCTCCATTTGAACTGAAACCAGGTTCTGCTGCTGGCCCAGCGTCCAGAACAGCCACCTCCAGCGGTCACCAGTCTTCCTCCCGCCCGCGGGTGTCTCTGGACCCAGAAAGCCAGTTGGGACCCTCAGTTTCCCACAGGCAGGTGCAGTTACCCCGAGACAATACCTTTGGCCGTCACCACCCCTGACACGTCAGCGTCCATTAAATCATCTCGTTTACTTCTGTCTCTCAAGCCCATTAGACCTGTGAGGGTGGGGATGGGGCCTCATCAGGTTTTGTGTGTTTTTATTTCCATCACACAAGTACCTAGCATAATGTTGACCTGTGGCAGGAGCTTACTACATATTAGATGAATGAACGCTTGAATGAGACTGGTATTATTATCCCATTTCATAGTGGGAAAGACAAAGACTCCCCCCCAAACAAGCCACATTCACGGCCCAAGGCCGAGAGCCCTCGTGTCCAGGGCCCTGTCTCCACTGCATTCTGCCTGAGAGGAGCCTTGTTGAAAGGGGCACGGTGCCAGGAGGAAGGCCTGGGCTCTGTGGAACGGGCTCCGTCTAACGGGGGTGGGCGGTGGGCGTGTGGGACCAGCACCCAGGCAGCTGAGGGCGGGAAGGAGCGTTGCTGATGCTGCACCTTGCGTGGACCTCCCACCTGGCCCCTGGCTCCCTTGTGAAAGCCCATCATGCCAGGGGAGGGGGCATCTCGCCCGAACCTGCACGCTCCGTCCACCTTGGCAGCCGGGTGATTACATGCCCGTTGGGGTCACGACATGGACAGAGCTGGCGCTGAGTGTTTTGGATCAAAATGAAGCGACCATGTCAGTCTGGTTTGGCTGTAAAGGCATTTATCAGAGCGACATCACTGTCCCCCTCATTCAGTACAAGTCGCTGCTCGTTTCTGTCCCAATCGGCAAACATTCTGCCCCTGCTCAGGGCCTACAGGACCCGCCTCTGCTTCTTTGGGGAATGAGGCTCACTGTGGTCTCTGAACTTCCAGGCCTGGTGGCCTCAATTCCTCCTCGTGAGGGATCCCAGGGTCAGTCCCCTCAGGGCTCATGAGAGTGACCTCGCTGAGCCTGAGGGTCCCCCAGGGTTATGGACCTCTGCTCCTCCCGCGGGGCAGCAGGTCCACAGGTGACCCCTCCCTGCAGTCCCACCAGGTCCCCTACTGATCCGCAGCTCCGGGAAGCCCCAGGGAGGGGTCACCCTCTCTTTTCTGTCCCAGCTTCGATTCTACCGAGTCTGACCAAAGTTCAAATCCAGCCCATGTTCATCTTACTCTTCAGTTCTGTGATAGGAGAGCTATGGATGCTGTTCGAGTCTCATGACTCTCCTTTTACCTAAACTAACCTTTCTTACACTGGAGGAAAGTTGAAAGGGGGAGGAAGAAACGTGGCAATGAATGTCAGCACAACACCTCTGCTGACTATCTAAATATTGTCTTCACCACACACCCTGTTCCGCTGAATAAAGAAGATAGAGGCACCTTCAGGCATTTTTAAAATCAAGATTTTATTAAAAAGAAACAACGTTTCAATCACCAAGCAAACAATTTAGAAAGACAGTCTCTGGAATAACACAAGCTATCACTGTGGAGGGCAACCCCGTCCCAGCCCCTGGGCTGTAGGCCTGGCACCTGTCATCCTTGCCCACCCCATGAACTTTTTCTAGATCAGGAGACCAGTCCGGAGATGTGCAGGGTGGCTCCGTGGTTCGCACCAGGTCTGGTGGGTCTGGCACTGGTCCCTGTGTCTCTCACGGTGGAGCCCCACGCAGAGCAAGGCAGCAGAAAGCCACACAGGGCTTCCGAGGGAACCAGCCACAGCCCGAAGCCGCTCTGCCTCCCAAAGCCAAGGGTGGGCCACAAGGGATCCCCATGTTTGGTTTCTGTTCCCCATTTCTGAGCTTCCCTCTGAATGACAGCTGTGACCATATCTCAGAGCGTTTGCCCAGCCCAGTTGGAGTCATAAGCTGGTGAAATGGACATGTTCTTGTGGAAATATGAACACACTCTCATTTGCCAAAGGTAAACTAGCCTTGCACTGGTGTGGAA